CAAGGGCCACCTCAGGTGACCCAAACCACAACTGCAGAAACCCTCCAGGGGCTTATCACAATGCACTGGTATGGTCACCACTCCAAGTGGTGGGGCTGGCCTTGTCTTGTCAAGAACAGCACAGCAAGGCTAGGGGTGTAGTTCTGTGGTAGACAGACACACACAAAAATTCAAGAACTTAGCAGCAGAGCTCACCTGGCTTACAGGTGGAGCCCAGAACCACCACTGAAATGGTGGATGCTGAGGACCAATACATGTATTCAGAGATACTGACAAATGCAGAAGGAAAGATAAAGAAGGAAGTGGGTACTAGAAAACACCTTTAAGGCCAGAAGAGTGAAAGGAAAAGGAAAACAAATCCCATAGAGTGGAGGGAGGTCTTCAGAGAGAAGTGCTCCAAAGCTGTCCTTGGCCGGTGTCATGCACATCATGGGAAGGTCACATGATGCTTAGGAGAAAGCTCTTGCTCACCAAGGAGGAGTCGGAGTCCAGGGATGGGAGCTGGTCTTTGGCAGCCGGGAGGATGGCGTCCCAGGGAGAGCCCAGTGAGGGCACTATGTCTTTGTCTTTGGATGCCATGGGAGCCCAGGCTCATGGGATGCTCTCTTTGTGCACAATCATCTGAGGAGCCCTGCAGAGCACACAGAGTGAGGTAGAAGGGCCAGGCAGCCAAAATCAACAGATCGGGGGCTGCCCTTCCAAAGCCTCAACCACTGTAGGATACGAAAACTGACTCAAAGACCACCACCTCCCACCTGTTTCCTTCAGGTTCTGCAAGCTGCTGTTACTGGTGCCAGGACTGTGTGTGTGTGTGTGTGTGTGTGTGTGTGTGTGTGTGTGAGATGTGCACATGCGTGTTTGTGCACCTATGTGTACTAGTGTTGAGCCTGAAGAAACATCATCTGTGTATGAAAATACAGAATATGCACATGTTGTATAGATATATGTGCTTGATATGCAGATTGATATATGTGTGATACACAATTGATATATGTGATATATAATGGCATGTAGGTATATATCATGTGTCCTATATAACATAGATACTATTATTATAGAGAACTAAGTTAATTACATATGTTGTAGGCAGTCACACAGGGCCAGGCCCTTGAGGGAGTCAATACAGAAGAAAATCCAGGCCCATTTACTCAAGACCAGGATCCAAGAGGAACAACTGCATCTACATACTTCCCCTAGGGCTGAACAGCGGTAACTGACATTCTGAATAGGTATTGCTCACCCGGCTGGGGGCCCAAGACCTTACCCCTCCCTTTCTGGAAATTCTTGTTCCTTCCATACATGCTTGCTATGTGACTTGTTTCCCTATTTGATCCCCATTTAATCAATATTTCCTAAGCAACTGTACTTGTAATCTTACTGGTTGATCATAGTTTTGTCCTACCTCATACCCACCTTCTGATTTTCCATTGGATCTTATTAGTTGACTATAGTTTTGTCCCACTTTGTACCCGCCTCACCTCAGGCTTTGCTCCATAAAAAACTCTTAAAACGCTGGTCCTAGGCAATCCACTTTCTGGGTGCCCCCTCCTGTCTCTCAGGCAGGAGCTGTCTTCCCCTCAATAAATTCTTCCTACTTTTAACCTCTGTTTTCCTAGAGT